AGGACATGAGTCTGAAAAAGTGCTTTAATCCAAAATGTACAAAGAACTCTTAAATTTCAAAAGAAAACAACTAACCTGACTGAAAAGTGGGCTAAAGACCTTGGCAGATACCTTCCCAAGGAGGATCTACAGATAGCAAATTAGCATATGCAAAGATGTTCCATGTCCTGTATCATCAGGAAATCCACATTAAAACAAAAAGAGAACACTACACACATAATAGGATGGTGGAAATCCTGAATACTGGTAACCAAAGAAAGCTGGTTGGTGGAAATGCAAAATGGTACAGCCACTGTGGAAGGCAGTTTGATGGTTTCTTTTGAAACTAAACATATTCTTACCATAGCATCCAGCAACCTTGCTCCTTCGTTAAATATCAAAGGACCTGAAAACCTACATAACCCCCCAAACCTGCAGAAGAATACTGATAGCAGTTTTATTTCTATTTGTCAAAATTTGGAAGCACCCAAATGTCCTTCAGCAAATGAATGCGTCAAATTGTGATATACTGAAACAATATAATATAGTTTATTCAGTGATGAAAATAAATAAACTAGTAAATCATGGAGTAACCTTAAATGCACAGTACTGAGGGGAAGTTAATCTGAAAAGGCTACATACTATATGATTCAACCATATGATATCCTAGAAAACACAACAATATTGAGACAGTAGAAAGATGAGTGGCTGCCAGGAGTTGGGAGAGGGACAAATGAGTAGGTGCAGCACAGGAAACAGTGAAACTATGCGGAATAATACTAAAATGGTGGCAACATGTCATTATACGTATGTCCAAACCCATAAAATGTATAATACAGAGAGTGAGCCCAAGGGAAACTATGAACTTTGGGCAGTAATGATGTGTCAGTTTGCTGATTATACAAATGTACTACTTTGTGATGCTGATAGCGGTCTATGAAAGAACAGGTATATAAAAATATAACAAAAAATGTATAAGATGATTATGGAGAAATTTTAAAAACAGTATTAGAGATTTGAAGAAATAAGATCTCCTAGGTTCATGGATGGAAATGTTTATTTCCGAAGTGTCAAATTTATCTAATGATCCATAAATTCAATGTACTCTAAAAATCACAAAGTTTTCCTAGAACTTGACCAAAATAAATAAATAAATATAACTGAAGAGAACAATTAAAACAAGAGACTAGTTTTACCCACCCAAAGACCTATTATAAAACTTGGTAATTGAAAGCAGGTAGTGTAGGCAAGGAATAAGTTGATAACTAGGTAAATGGAATAGGGAGACCAGGAATAAATACAGGTACATATATAAACATCTGTGAGTGAGCTAACATCACTTTCAATGAATACTACTGAGTCAACTGACATAGCCTACAGAACATAAAACTTGATTTCCCCTTGACAATATATATTAAAATAAATTTCAGATGACTTGAAGTGCTATAAGTGAAAAAAAAAACAACTTAAAACTGTCCATATTTAGCTATTAACCTGGATACCCCATTTTCAGTAACTTATTAAGAGAAAATAACTGGAAAAGAGCAAAAAGATGTATGACAAGAAATATATCATCAGGTCCTTCTAATGTTAATTATATTATGGAAAAAATTAAGTAAATGTACAACCAAAAATTAGTTCAATAAGTTGATGATACATTTGGGTAATATAAGTGATAATACGGGTCTATAATATTTACATGAAAATGAGTCCTATAAAAAGAAAAGTATATGTAGCTACAGTAATTAAGACCACAGTATTAGTGGATACTAGTGGAATCTGTTTAATGGGAGAGAACATAGAAGTCAGAAATATATCCAAACAAGAACACTCAACTTATGTTGACTGAGATGCAAAAGCAATGCAATAGAGGAAACATCTTTCCAACAAGTGTTGCTGGAGAAATCTAGACAAAAAATTAAGTAAAAATAAGCAACAACAAACAAAAACAATAAGAACCTTGACCTAATTCTCACACCTTATATGAAATCTAAATCAAAGTGATCGTGGAATCAAATCTAAAGCTATAAAAATTTAAGGAAAAATGAGACACGGGGGAAATCTTGGGGACTTAGAACTAGGTGAACAATTCTTAGACTTAACCCAAAGTCATAAGCTGTAAAATAATAATAATAATAAATTGAACTCCAGCAAAATTGAAAATCTTTCCTCGATGAAAGGCTTTCAAATGAAAATGGAAAGACAAGTTATAGCCTGGGAGAAAATGTTTGTCAACCACATATTCAGTAAAGAATTGGTATCTAGAATACATAAAGAACTCTCAAAACTCAACAGTAAACAAATGACCCAATTAGAAAATGGGCAAATGACATGATCACACTTTCACCAAAAACAACATTCAGCTGTCAACCAACCACAAAAAAAGAAGTTCATTTATATTAGTCATCAAGAAAATACAAATTAGGACCTCCCTGGTGATGCAAGGGGTTAAAGCACAGCACTATTAAGCTATCACCAACCACTGCAGCATGAATTCCATCCCTGGCCAGGGAGCTGACCCACATAGCACAACAGACCTCTCCTGTCTCCCTACTGCTCCCCTCAGCAGTATATTTCAGTCAGTCTACCTGTTCAGCTCCCCATTCTGTCTCTGGTGAATCCTATCACCCCACGTCTTTGGCCTGGACCCCATAGTATTTTCACCTTAGTTATTATGCAAGAAGGACCTCCTTTCTGATTGTCATTCCATTCAGCACTGACCTCTTCCCTCCAAACCACAAAGATGCCTCCTCCTGACACTCCTCTTTAAGCAAGCATTTTTCTACCTCAGTGAGTCTCCATTTCATATTGAATTTCAGCAAAGTACATCTTTCTGTCCTTCAAAATGTATTTGAAAGCACCCCTCTGCTTTTTGTGTCGTTTCCATAGATTGTTTCTACAGGTAAGTTAGATCATATAAAAGGTTCTATGAAAAATTCTTGCTTTTAAGTCAGTAGACAAATAATTTTTTAAAAAATAAAACTACTTTGAGATACAAAATTCATGAAAACAAAAAACCACCTTTATTCTATTGGTTCTCTTGTCATACACAACACTACGTGGTTTGCTTTCTTTAATTAAAACTGTTTTCAGGGCCCTCCTTGATGGTTAGCCACAGCCGCTTGAGTGCCAGTTTGATCCGCCACCCTGGAGGTGACCCACATGGAGCAGCAGACCTCTCCTGGCCTGTCTGCTGCTCCCCTCAAGCAGTGTACCTCATCAGTCTGCCTGTTCTGTTCCCCACTCTGTATCTGGTGAAGCCTCTCACCGCCCCTGTACCTCAGGCATGCACCCAGCTCTGTATGAATAAATAAATAAATCTTAAAAAAAAAACTTTTCATGATCACAGCATTCTGCAAATATATCATTAATTATGAATTTCTTTTTTCCTTGAAATATGAAATAAAGCATGACTGAAAAACTAAATATATTACATGCAGAATAACTAATTTTTAAAAAACAATATTTTCTGCACTATACATAAAAGCTTCCTGAGACATAACTACTCACTACTATGATCTATAAAATAGCTCCACAGAATCAGAACTTTCCTCCAGTCCCAAGGAAGACTACTTACCAGACTTTCTTGCTTTCAAAGCAATAACAGCTGCTAGCTCTCTCTGCATCTAGTAAAATAATAGGGAAAAATAAAGTTAGAACAAGAATAAAACATCTATCAAAAGAAATAATCTGTTTTTCATATGTGACCCCAAAGCAGAGATGCTGAAGGTAAAGCTAAATTTTCTGCCACTTTTGTTTGTTTTTAATAATACAGAAAAATCTCTGCATAAAAATCTTAGATTAAAACTCTGGAAAATCCATATTGACTTATTTTAAAAAGAAATCATTTACCAAATAATTGGAAGAAAACATCAGTTGTATGCATTGTAAAAAATTGGTATTTATGCCACAATCATGGAAGTATCTCGAAAACATAACTACAGACATTCTGAAATACTACAAACAAGAAATGACTGAAGCAGGCATGATACCAAGTAAAAGTTATGAAACATTATTTATTCCTCAGATTCTAGTTCATACAGAAATTCTAGAAAAATTGAAGTAGGTAATCCTGGTATAATGGGGTTCTGCTCAATTATAATGAATGTTCAGTTGGAGCCAGAAAGGTTTACAGCAACCACTTGCATCATATATCACATAAAAGCAAGTGCTATTATTGATCCACAAGGCAGGTGAAGTGGGAGTAAATGACATAACCTTTACAATTCTAAGTGCCTTAAACCCTGCTTATTTGTCCAGATTTTTTTTCTTGTTCACACACTCTTTCTACCATACACATTTTGAATGTTTAATTCTTTCTCAAAAATATTCTCCAAAAGGAAAATTAAACAGATGGAAAAGATAATCAGTTCCTTTCAAAGAGAATATTTAAAAATTATAATATGAGGATAACCTTTGGGAAATCCATGTTTGGCAGCAATGAAAATTCCAAAATTAGCATGCTCATTCATCTACAGGATACAATCTTACAGGTTTAAAACTATGGAGGAGTGTGGAGGTAGTGGTGGTTGAGTTTGGAAGGGTCCTATGGCTTGTTATATTACAAAAGGTCAACACTTTGCTATTGAAATTCATCTAATTCCATTTATTTGAAGGCAAGTGCTAGACAATGGAACTTCCCTTAGGACTACTCTCACCCAGGTCAGGGATCATACCCTTGAAAAAAAAGCTTCCCTAGTACTGCTTTACTGCTAAGATTTCCCTGGCTGCCTGGGGTGAATGCCATTTGAAAGGGTAAACTCTTATCTAGCTGTTTCTATGATACCTGAAGACTCTCTCACCATGTTAGGAAAACGTTTTGTTTTCTAGAGCTTTTGTATTTCAGAGCAGTGAGTAATGGCTCACTGAGTAAACCTCTGCTGATTTTATGTATCACTACCACACACAACTTTTTCTCATGTTTCTCATGTCTTATACTGTGTGACAGTCATGACTTTTTGTCTACTAAAAAATGTTTTCTTTAAATAGCTTGGGCTTTCACTATTTCAGTAGTCCTCAAACCAGGCTGCACATTAAGATCATACTGGGGACTTTAAAAAGCTATGGCTATTTGGGAACCAAACACATCAGTATCTCAAGGTCAGTGTTTGCTGCTGTTACCATCACTAAGTGATTCTATTCAATACAGTATCTTAGTTTTCTGAAGACTGATCCTTTTAATATTATAACCACTTTGACTTTGTTCCCCTTCACCTTCACCACATTTTAGGTAGGAAGTTATGCTATATTCCAATCAAATAGTAAGATTCAACTACGACATTAGCAGCTTGACAGACAGATCTACTCAAGTACAAGGAAAACTGTAAAGAAACTGTTTTACTGCTGTTTTATTTTAAGATATCTTTTCATTTTTAATTATGTTTATTGAGGTAACATTGGCTTATAATTGCTTATACATCTTAGGAGTACAGGTTCACACCTTTGCAAATGTATTCATAGCACACCCACCATAACAGCCCCACCATAGTCCACTGAGCCCTCCCCCTCTCTAGTCCAATTCTTCTGGAAATCTCAGTTCTGCTTCAAGGGATAGCTTAGGTTTGTTTTTGTCATTCCTTTGTTTTATTTCTTTATATTCTACATGAGTAAAAGCATTTGATTTTTGTCTTTCTTACAAGGAAGCTTTTGAAGAAGTTTAACTTTAAAATATAGTCTATAAAAAGAACTGTATGGGTCCTCCCTTGTGGTATAGCGGGTTAAAGCACAGCAATAAGAAGCTACAGCCACTTCAGCATGAGTTCGATTCCCTCCTGCCCCAGAGGTGATTCACATGACGAGGCAGACCTCTCCTGACCCCGTCCACTGCTCCCCTTAGCAGTGTACTTAATCAGTTGACCTGTTCTGCTCCCCACTCTGTCTCTGGTGAATCCTCACCGCCTCTGTACCTCTGGCCTGTACCCCAGTTCTATATGCATAAATAAAATTAAAAAAAAAACCTGTATAATTCAAAATACATCTGCAGGTTAGGTTATATTTGTTTTTATGATTATCTAAAGAGAGGATAAATGAGGGTAGATAAGACAGATCTCAAAATTTTCCCTTTTTCCTGGTTACTTATCAGAAACATGTTGAAATATTTTGGTTTTCTATCTTGAATAACCAGCAGGAATGTTAAAAAAAAAATATCCCTGACATGCAACAAGAATCAGTCAGTCTTATTTCCAGCATTTTGTCTTCTTTTCTCTCTGGGACTTTAATAGGGTCTTCATGCTGAAAATCCCAATGTTTTGCATCAATGCCATCAACTCTGAGAGCCTCACATTGGGAGAGGTTAAGTGAGAAGACCTCAACAGGCCTTCTTCAGGAAGAGGCACTTGAAAACTAATTGAGAAGCTGGATACAAAAAGAGGACAGACCAGTGGCAGCAAAGGTTTTAGCTGATCCAAGAGCTGACCTTTTAAACCAATTTTGACGTACATCACAAATTTCCTGGAGACTTTGAGTAAATCTATTAACTACAGAAACGTTCAAATTTTTAATGGAAATGTTTTTAAAACATAATACTCATATTCTCAATTTCCTAAAACAGCTCTTAGCAGAAAACATAACCCAATAGTCTTCCCTGTTTTATTCCCAAACATACTCACTTTTGAACCTCTATAAATCTTTAAGAATTCTAGAAAATAAAATTGCTAAAGCAATCAACATTACTTCTAGATAAGTACCGAGTAGTGATGGTAGCAAGACTTTTGTCCTATGAAGGAATACCTAAGGGCAAGTAGTAATTTTCTTTGTTCCTCACAAGCCTGTATTCTTAGCTTCAGTTTATTACTTTGTCCTGGTGTGCCACAAGTCTGACACATGGAAATCTTTGATTACCTATTAATGTCAACCAATAATTAGAAAATTAAGAAACTTATCTGTGTATCTGTCTAGACACTACTGCTCTCTACCTAACAGTTTAACAAATACTTGTTTTTCCAATAAGTTTTATTACCACATCAAAGATATATTTGTTTAGCATGCTGAGATGATAAAACATGCTTGTGCTTACTCATCCATTTCGAGGCAATTAGGGGTACTTTTAAAATCTCTTATGTAGATGTTTTTGCTGAATATATTCAGATATGCCTATTAATATCAGTTTAACTTTGACAACAATTAGCCAAAGACAAATATATATGCAGCTGTGGCCTAAATGAAGAAAATGTATTGGAATAAAGTCCTACATTTAGATTTTTAAAGTCTACTATTTAGCCTGCTACACATACATACATATATTTTGACACTTTCACATTAAAAAGATCTGATATTTTTTAGTAGATTACAAGCTGGTATACATTAACAATAGAAATGAGACTTATTTTCTTTTTAGCACTATTACTAGAAGAATTACTTCTATGTTACAAAACCCCAATGAACTCCAGAAAGATCACTATCTGGATTGCACTCAGTTTGGAGTAGAATTTGTTTAGATTCCTGAGGAATAGATATTTATTTATTATTTCCTTTTGACTAATTTTCAGCTAACATAATCCCTTCCAGCTCCCTCCATATTGCTGCAAATGGCATGAGTTTATCTTTTTTGATTGTTGAGTAATATTCCATTGTGTATATCTACCACATCTTCTTGACCCAGTCATCTATTTTGAAGCATTTGAGTTGTTTCCATATCTTACCTATTATTAATAGTGCTGCAATAAACATAGAGGTGCAGGTATCCTTTTGAATTAATGTTAGATCCCTGATTACCTTAATACCATTTGAATTAATGGTAGATCCCTAGGAGTGGAACTGCTGGGTCATATGGAAGCTCCATTTTTAGTAGTTGAAGGTGTCTGCAAACAGATTTCCTTAGTAGCTGGAGCAGTTTGCTCCCACCAGCAGTATAAAAGAGTTCCTTTTTCTTCACATCCTCACTATTACTTGTCGTTTCCTATTTTTCTTTTTTTAAATATGTGTTGTTTGCACTGGTATAAGCTATCACCTTGTGATTTTGATTTGCATTTCCTGCTTATTAAATGAACATATCAATCTATGATCTTTTGTGGTAAAGGTCTCCCTCCCATACCACATAGTAATTTCCTATAGGTGATTTCCTATAGGGATGTTACATTAGAAATACTTGTATTGGAATGACTCCAGATTATTTAAGATACTTTCCAACTAGAAAGTCTACCTATAAAAATTGTTAATCGGTAAGGTTCCTGGAAGAACAAATTCAGAGCTTAGTATACACAAGCCTAAACAGGAATATGAAATTTCCATTTATTTTATCCCAACCTTGAAAGAAGTTATAGAATTCTAGTTGGTAAAGTCACAGCCCTCTATCTGAAAAGGCTGCTGTGAGAATTAAATAAGTTAACAGTGACTGGCACAGAATAAGTGCTGTCTGAGAGCCAGTGATCATCATCATCACCACATTATTATAACTAATATATTTGAGTTTTACAATAAAATATAACAGAAGAAAATAAGTATCAAGTCCTTAATTATTTTAACATTTCATGTTTTAGCCCTTTCTTTCCACCTAAATTATAAACCCCTTAGCAACCTGTAGTGCCAGCAAGGCACAAGGCAGGTTTGATGGATTCATGAGATGGGGAAAGGAGAGTTCTGGAGTCCTTAGTGGCTCTTTCAGGATTTTAATGATCTTCCTAGACCA